ATCAAGCTTCATCTGTTGTGGATTGTAAGGTTTTACCTATGCTTTATAACCCCAAACTCGCATATGTTTCAACACAGGAGTCCTTCCAAAATACAACTCATATGGAGTCTTTGGAACTGACTTGGTAGGAACTTGATTCAAAATGTAAACAACAGTTTTAAGTGCATCACCCCACAAGAATTCTGGCAGTGAGGAGTGACTGATCATGCTCCTAACCATATCCATGAGAGTACGATTTTGCCTTTCTGCAACCCCATTTTGCTGCGGGGTGCCAGGCATAGTATACTGAGCTTCAATACTATGCTCTTGAAGGTAAAAAGCAAATGGCCTAAGGTTCCTACCAGTCTCAGTATATCTCCCATAAAATTCTCCTCCTCTATCAGATCTCACACATTTGACCAACTTGCTAGATTTCAATTCGATTGCTGCTTTAAAGGTCTTGAATGCATTAAGAGACTCACCCTTTTCATGCAAGAGTTCAATCCATCCATGACGAGAGTAATCATCTGTAAAGGTGATGAAATATCTGAAACCACCCATAGCTGGAGGTGTGATAGGTCTACAAATATTAGTATAGATTAGATCTAAAGTGTTTTCAGACCTCTTTGGCCCTTTGGTTCTAGCTCTAGCAGGGAATTTTCCCTTTATGCAATCAACACAAGTCTCAAAATTTGAAAAATCAAGGTCTCGTAAGACACCTTACTTGGTCATCCGCTCCAATCTCTCTCTAGAAATATGACCCAAACGACGATACCATAACATAGAGGAATTATCATTGGGCCTTTGACGTTTATGCCCAATAGCAGTATTGATATGGAGATTACGAAGTTCAAGTGATCAATCATTCAATCGATATAAACCATATATCAAGGAAGCGACACCAACATTAATGGAATCAAAACAAATGTCAATTTTCCTATTTTCTTAGAAGAATGAATAGCCACAAATATTCAATGCAGAAGTTGAAATTAAATTTCTCTTCGCAAAAGGTACATAAACAACATTGTTCAAATGCAAAACATAACCAGAATTTAAATATAAAGAAACAGTTCCAATGCATTCAATTAATGCCTTACTCCCTGCTATGCAAAAGACTAACCTTTGTGCCTCACTTGGAACCTTCTAGTTTCTTAGCCCCTGTAGAGAATTCACAACATGTACAATGGCACTAGAATCCAGCCACCATGAGTCAAAGGAAGTTTCAATGATGTTAGATTCAAAACAAACTAGAGCTAGAGGGGCAATTTGAAGAGTTGTACCTTCACTTTCTTGTTTGTTCTTCAATTTGAAGCAATTAGCTTTAATGTGACCCAATTTCTTGCAATAATTACATAACCCCTTAAAGGGTTTCTTCCTTGACTTCTCACTCTTATCACCATCCTTCTTAAAGGTTGGATTATTAGGCTTTGGGGCATCATGCTTCTTTCCCTTTTTCTTATATAACCCTCTAGATTTGCTGCTAGAGCCATGAGAAACATAGTTTATCGAGTGAGAGGAATTCTTCTTTCTAGCTTCCTCTTCTTGAATGACTATCGATATCATTTGGTCAACAGACCATTCAGCTTCTTGTGAGTTGTATGAAGTCCTCAAGAATGCGTACTCTGATGGCAGTGATTGAAGAACACGGTAAACCAAGGTACTTTCACCCAAATCAATCCCATATGACTTAAGCTTGTTATAATAATGAACAAGTTTTAGAATGTGCTCCCTGACACCAGAAACTCTATCATATCGAGTATTGTCAAGAAGTGACAGATAATAGTTCTTTTGAGTCTTGTCAAGCTTCTTGTGTTTGTTACCAATAGCTTTCAAGTACTCCACTACAGTATCATTTTCAGGAATGCTGTCCCTAATTCCCTTTTCAATTGTGTACTTAATGATCGCTAGACAAATCCGGTTGGACTCACTCCATTGTTTATGAAAGGCTATTTCAGAAGCACTGGACTCGAAAGAGAGATCCGCAAGCTTGGGCTCTCTCAGAGCTAAATCTTTCTCAGAAATGGTCAGATACATATTGAGGGACTCTTTCCAATCGTCATAGTTAGTCCCATTGAGAGCCTTCACAAAGGATAGTTACGTAAAAGCAGAAACTAAAATTACAAAATAAAAAATAGGAAATATTAATTATGCGTGCACAACATAATTATAAAATAAAATTTCTCAACAAGCGATTATCAATTAGAAAACTATAATCATGCACCAAGAAGGCTCATATACCATGAAAAAGTGAGCTCATACAAAAGTTCATACAAAATAATGCATTAAACATTTCCACACCTATAGGGTACAACAAATATTTAACACATTAAAGGAGTGCTATTAGCCTATCCTCAAAGTCAACCATCAAAATCACATTAATAATGTCACACCTATGGGGTATGTCCATTATCAATGCTACAAGATCCTAAGCATCATCAATAATTTATAAAGTCACAAATTTTATGACTTTAGGACAAAACAAAATAATTTTAAAAGTCCTTAGGGTCTTTTGGGAATTAAAGAACAAATTTAGGACTTAAGTGAACTTTTGAAAGGTAATCAGGGGCAAATAAGTAATTCTGGAAGAGATTTGGGTAAAAAATTATAATTTTAGAAGTTAAGGGGACCACAGTATAATTTTAAGAAATTTATTGGGGTCACGGAGGGAATTCCATAAATTTTGGGCTAAAGGAGGTAATTCTATCCTAGGGTCAAAATGTAATTAACAGAAACCCCTCTTTTTTTTTAAGACCTGGGCCCAAACAAAATTTGGGCCCAGAACCCGTGGAACCGGATCCCTGACCCTGTACTTGGGTCTTTTCTGCCGCGCGTGGGGACGACTGGACGAGGAAGAAGGGGGAAGGAAGATCGCCAGTGCAGACAAAGGAAAAGAGGAGGAAGATCGCCGGCGATCTGGAGAAGGTGCGCAGTGGCGAAGGAGGAAACCTCAGACGACGCACCGGCAGCTTCTTTTCTGAAGACCTGACAGCAGAAGCATGACCTGGAGCAGGGCGAGCAGCGGCGAAAAACGGAGCTGCAGACGACGCACCAGCAACTCCGTTTTCGGTGATCATGTCCAACGTTATTGGAGTCCTTCTCCGGCGATAGAAACATACAGTGAACAGGGAGATGACACCGAGAAGGAGAATTTTTTTTAAAATAAATATAATAAGATTTAAAACAAAGTTTTCATATTTAAATCTCATTTCCTGAAGAATATGGATCATAAGGAAATATATCAACATGAGATGAATCTCTATCAACATATCAATATATACGTAAGAAGAATTGAGATATATAAATTTAAATTCGTGTTAAATCTTATCATCTCAATTCATATTTATAAAATATGATAGAATAAAGTAATTCATGCGTACCTGAAGAATCTATGAGTGCTAGAGAAATCTCGATTACCTCAAGTATAGGCAGGTACACAACCCACAGGTCCCCAGAGTCTTTAAAGAGTTCAGAAATAATGGAAGTAGAAGAAAATAATGAGTCGTGTGCTTGCGGTTATCGACTGATCGACTTATATAAATCAGATATGTAACCACCTTATTAAATAATTAAATAATTATATTATCTATTATCTCTAACTTAGTCAATTAAGAGATAGGAAATAACTGACGGCTACTAGGTTGTGGGTTGGGCCTCTACCCATTGGACTCACCTGTGTGGTCCACCTATCACGGTCCACACAAGATCATAAAGACCAATCTATTGGGCTTATTAATTAATGCTAATTCATAAATAATATTCCAACAACAATCACAATTCAAAGGCCAATAAAATTACTACGAAGGGCACACACAATTGAATGGAAACCGCTGGGAAGGGGATTGATAAGGGTCCAAGTCAGCATAACAGATCTATAATCACTTATCAACGCAGAAAGAGGAGGAAAATAACAAAATCTGATGCTGCTATACAGATAATGAGGGATTTATCTGATTTAAATTAATTCTTTGATGTTATTTTAATTAATTATTGTTTTGTTTTGCTGTGAGTAGCTGAATAATAGGACCTTAACTTCATTAGTGAGGTACCCACTTGTTAGTCAGTTATTTTCTGATTTTTAGATTAATATTCTGCATTATTTGATTTGTTTAATTGTAATTTATGGTTATAAATATTCTCGCTTCTATAACAGCAAGATATGACTGAGTGATAAACCTTGCTTTCCCTTGGAGATTCTCCTATTTGGCTGTTAAATTCATAGGAGTGAGATTCTTGCTCTATTTAATTTAATAAATTCTACCTTTGCTTCATATTTGTCTTAATCTTCTACCAGGGACTGCGTCTTATCTTATTTTGATTCTTATTTTGATTCTTAACTTCAGTTGCCTCTTCAAGAGTCTCTCAAGGAGGCTAGTGGAGATTGGTGTTTTTAGCGTTACAAGTTAGAAACGATCAACATTTCCTGGTGGGTTCTTGTACAACTTTATTCAATCATTTGTAGATCCCAGAACAAAAATCAACAAATCAAATCAAAGTGAAAGGAACAAGGGACAATTAAAAAAAAAGTGTAAGGAACAAGATGAGGGGACGAATCTGAGCATGACTGCACGAGTAGGAAGGTAAGCAAAAGATTCAATTAATGAGGAGCTTGACCAGAAGAGTTGAGCTAAGGGGAGATCGAGAGATTCGCAACTTTGAGCAGAGCTGAGGCAAGTAGATCGAGAAGAGTGACGGTCGGAGTGGAGAGCCCTTGCTAAACGACTCTGGGTTTCCTTAGCGAGCAAAATATGTAGTGGAGACTGGAGAGCCTAATGAGCGAGTGAGATGCAAGACGAAAGTGAGCACCAAGCAACAAGAAGCGAGAACAGAGAAGTTCAGCGAGTGACTGTTTGGACTAAGGAACTGTACGATAGAGCAATCGAGTTTGTTCCCTCTATCTTTTTTAAAAAAATAATAATAATAAGCGGGCTAAGCTATGTGTTGAGCCCGTTAACCCATATTCCTAGTTCTATTTGTTTGATCATAGTCAAACTAATAAGTTGTTGGACCAATACCTCTACAAGTTCAAGTACTAGTCGTCTTGTTCCGTTTATACTTCCCAATTTATTTGTTCTCTGGCCAAAATAACAAATTCTAACTGTTCAAAAATCCCAACTTCGACCCTTTTTTATTGGAAATCTTTGAACTGCTTGATGAAACAGCAGGACCATTGTTGACTTGAGTCATTTTGTAAATTCATTGGCATTTAAAAACAAGAACCGCATTACTCCCCACATATATATTGTCGTCTTCTGCTTTTTTCTAGCACCTCAGTATGCACAACTTCCTCAGTATCGTCTCCTCAGGCTCCATCAAATCCTTACCTAAGAAAAATGTATGATCTTCAAGATGCTGGGAGGATTATTTCTTGGATCATTTAACCTGAGAATAACTCTGAACAATTGAAGATCAATAACTAAAATCGGATTTTTTTTCCGTTAAAAAAAAAAAACAAACATCAATGCTTAAACAACGCAAAAATACGTTCTGGATGATTTCACAATTTTTTCCCCCCTTTAATGAACTTTCAAAATAATTCTTGTATACTGTCAAGTGTCAAGTGTCAAAAGTTACCGATAATACAGTCACTGGATTATAGGTATCGACGGTCAACTACTTTCCCATTACATCTGCCCTGGACTGCTAAATACAGAGCAAAGAAAACAAGCAAATCACAAAGAGAGACTCCACGACTGGAATAGTAGCATTTTAGTTTTGGGAAACAAAGACTCTTGGGCATTTTCACATAATTGCAGGGTCTTTAGGAGCAAGTTGATTATGGCCGTTTTAACATATTCATGAGAATTCACAACCAACAACAAAAGAATAAAGAGAGAAAAAATTTCAAGGCAAGCAACAAAACCAATGTGAGGAACTTTACCTCTGGGCTTAGGTCTTGTTTCATAAATTTTGCATGGTTTCATGTCAAAATAATTGATAAGATTACTTCTCATCAACCAGGCTGCAGCCAGTTTTCTTGAAAACACGCATGCCAGTCATCTGGTTCCTAACTCGCTCAACCTCCTCCCACTTCTCAACTTCAGCAAAAATGTTAGATAACAAGACATAATCTGCATCTGTTAGATTCTCTAATTTGGCAAGTTGTTGGAAGGCTATCTCAGCCAACTCCACATTACCCTGTCTCCCACAAGCAGACAACAACATTCTCCATAAAAAAGCTCTACTATCAGAAGGAGCAATCATGATCGTCTGATAGGCCTCATCTAAAGAACCCCATCTGCTTAAAAGATCAACCACGCAACCATAATGCTTAACATCAGGCAGAATTTTGTATTCATTTATCATACGATCAAAATACCATTTTGCTTTATCTATCAAGCCCTTATGACTACAAGCAATCAGAATACCAATGAATGTCACCCTATTAGGACTAACTTTACTAAGCCTCTGTTCCATTTCAGAAAACAATCGTAGTGCTTCCTCACAATAACCATGTACAGCCAAACCAACAATCATAGCATTCCAACAACTTACAGGTTTTATCTTCATGCCATAAAATATTTCCCAAGCTGAACTCAAGTTACCACATTTAGCATACATATCCAGAAGGGCATTACCTAAATAGCCTTCAATCCTATACTCCCACAATGTCAACGTCTGGTGTATTTTTCTACCTATTTCCAGCGCACCTGTTTCAGCACAGGCACCCAAGACTGATATAAGTGTTACTTCTGTTGGCTTTACCTCAGCTTTCTGCATCTCAGAGAAGAGCGTAAATGCTCCTGCAAAATCTTTAATAGAAACACAACCTGCAATCATTGAATTCCAAGATACTGCATTCCTCTCAGGCATAAGATGGAACACCTTTCCTGCAGCCTCAATGTTGCCTATCCTAATATATCTTGCAATTAAAGTGTTCCAAGAAACAACATTTTTGCCTGGCATAGACTTTAGAAGATAATCAGCTGACTCATAATCGTCAATGCGATTATATGCTGATATCATAATATTCCAAGATACCAAACTCCTATTTGACATTTCATCAAACAAAAGGCGAGCAATTGGCAAAAGTCCACATTGACTATACATCGAAAGCAATGAGTTTTGAATACAAAGATCCTCCCCAAATCCCAATTTGAGAGCAGTGCAGTGAACCTCAGCACCCTTAAAAGCAATAGTATCCCCGCCAAACTTGCCACATTGTTCTGCAACCTTGTGAGCTCTAGAGCACGCCTTCAGGGCAAAATTGTAGGTAAAATGATCAGCATATACAGGCAAGATTTGCATATGATTGTAAATATAAAGAGCCTGAACGGGGAAGGCACTGTTAGCAAAAGCTCGAATCATAGTGTTACAAATAAAACAATCCTCCATGGAAGTGTCATTGAAAACAGCTTGAGCGTGGAAGAGGTTACCCGTGGGAGACAGGGCTGAAAATGAGATTATCTTCGAAAGAAAACGAAGGTGAGCAAGGAGCCCTGCTTTGATTATAATTGCTTGGGCTTGTTCCAGTTCCTTCATGCAGGAGAGCCGGTGAAGCAAGAAGGCTATGTGTGAAGAGATGCATCTGAGCCTGGGCAATGGCATCATCCATGAGAGAGAGAAATGCACAAGGTAGGATCCCAAATAGAATGACCAGATTTTGACAGAACTAGATCTTCTGAAAGTTTTGTCCCTGAACTTCTTCAACTCAAACCAATAAATTCATAAATTACTAAGATTGAGCCACATCAGTAACTGGAATAGCTAATATAAGTGCAACGATGGGTTGGACTTTGGAGGAAGATCCAGGAGGCCTCAGGCAAGGATTACACACTATAATTTGTTAAATAAGTTCAATAATGTCCTAATTTCCTGCATCCAATCGCCTATTATTCCCTCTAATTAATCCTTCAATTTGCTGCTCAATTAATGGCTAACCAGAACATTAAAATGGCCTCATCAATATGCCAAACCTGAACCAATAAGCAGCAATGCAATACCATGAATGATGAAACATCAATAGCAGACAGCCACAGTTTCACCAAGAAAATAGAATGAACCAGAAATCAATCGTAGAGATCGCCCAGAGATGGAGGAGATGGTGTCGACAAAGATGAATAATGGGAGAGGGTATTTTGGTCAGGAAATTTTTAATCCCATCATGCAAATTGCTATAGTCAGGGCATTTTGGTTGTCTTGTTAAAATTAATTATGAATTTTAAACTTTTTTTGTATATATCAAAATCAATCAAGGTCCGCTGAAGCAAATTTATAACCAAAGAAGACCAAAAGAATTTGAACTATCACTGCAAGACCGGGGGACTAAAACGAAAATAAGTTTGAGTGTAAAATGACCATAATGCCCCTGCTTTTTTGACCCAAAAAAAAAATACCCCTATTGTCATTGGTGTAATGAACTCCATCATTAACCACATTTGACTCTACTAACTAATAACCCTAACTTTAAGGATCAACCATTGCATTAATATTTGTTAATGACAATAGTAAAGGTCAACCTTGAAAATTGGGATCCCAAAGATATTTGAAGGATAGAAATAGTATTTTTTAGAAATCAAAGTATTTACATGGAAGCATGGAGTGCAAACTTAGCATAGAGAAAGGAATTATGGAAAGGGCAAATTATTCATTTTAGGAAGAATTGAGCCAATTTGCCATGGCCAACTGTGAGTTGACATGCTTGTCGCAGCTTATGGCATGATCGCCGCGGCACAAGGCACAAAGATCAACTCACCACAGCCCATGACTCTACTCGTCACAACCAACACGCCCACACACACTCGCCACAATCACCATCATTGTTCATTGCGATGAATCATGCGTTGTCAGCCCAGAGAATAACATGTAGAATTTGACTTCAAATCCATATAATTAATCACTCGAACCTTCAATTAAGACATCCAAGAGTTCAAACGTAAGCAATTTAAATATCTAACTATTGGCACTAATTGTAACTCAATTCCAACACCAAATGAGGATCATGGAACCCTTAGTGCCCAAACAACATTTATGCCTCATGCACAAAAGCAAATGTCTCCTCTCATAACCACTCTCAATCACATATCATAGGCTAAATAAAACATGCATAATTACTCATATCATAATTGATAAATAAACCACCCAAGTATCAAACTAAATTCATCACACATTTGCACCTCAGCCAAAACTTAAGGCCCACCAAAAAATGTCCAAGCCAACATTTAGGCTCATATGCAATGATTCATAATTCACATATATAAAGTATGCATAAATCTTAGTATTGGCAAAACATAATTCCAATTACGCATAAATCGAAACTAGAGACCTTACAAGTAAATCTCTAGTTCTTCAACGTCGATGCCTCCCCTTTTTTCCTTTGGCCTTATCATCACCTAGAAAAACATTGAGTAACGAGAGTGAAATTAAACAATCTCAGTAACCAAGAATATAGCATTAACACAGGGACTAAAATTATAATTCTATTTTTTTTTTAAGACATAGCATTGACATGTATTTCCATTAATAATAATCAACATAGGGACTAAAATTATAACAATATAATTATGCCAATATATTCAACAACAATTCAAAAATAAGAACTTGCTAACATTTCTTTTGGGACATTATCCACTTACTAGAGACATTCTCAAATATATAATTTACTCCTAATTAACCACTTTTGTGATATGGTCCGCGCCTTAATCCCCTAATGCCCAAAGGAACATTTTTATTATCTCCTTTATGCATTTTATAAATCCAAAATCTCCAATCCAAACAAATTTAGAAAATTAGAAAAGAGTGTCAACATCTATCTTTCACAAATAAGAAACCATGTTGAGTTTAATAAATCCAAACACATATACAATTAATATTCAAATTTTCCAAGTCTTCCTATAGAAAATAAACAGCTTCTAATATGATTTAATCAATGCTATCACTCATGTATATTCAATCTTCATAAACTTCCCTCCTCAAGTATCTTATCAAACACTTTGTACAAACTCAAAAACTAACATAAGAACATACAAATTTGGTCCTTGAATTAATAACCACATATCTTTATTCAAGACTTTCTAACTTCATTTCCAACTTTGCATTATTAGGAACAACTACCTACTCTGACAATTTACTCCACAGAACACATTTTGCACATTTATTTGCTACTATAACTAACATACTCCTATTAAACATTTCATCAAACACTTTGTGTGCACTCAAAATCAAACCATAAAACAATCAAGTCATTCTTTAGTTATCTGTCCCAACAATTTACCAATCTTACATAACTGAATTCATCATGCTTTTCAAATTCAACTCTTTAATAAAAATCAATTTAAATCCTAGAAAAACATCTAAATCAATTTCCTTTCTACATTAACCAAAGTACTTAAAGTATCATCATTTAACTAAAATGTCTATGAGCTTACAAGTTTTCATTTTAAGTTTATGCGAACAAAATCTGTGCCTACCTAAATCAATTTCCTTGCACGCACAGCAACTGATTTATGAGGAAAGAAATAGAATTTCAGCAGCTACCCAAATCACAAAATTCACACAAAACTAAAGTAAAGGGAGAGAAATTGAAGCTTTAGACTAATAAAGAAGTAATGAAGAAAATGAATTGAAGGATTTAAACTTTCCCTGTCACACACAGAACAGCACCCACGAAGAAAAGAAAGGAAAAGAAAGGAAGAATGTGAAGAAGGACCTGTGACACGAAACAGAGGACAAGAAGACGAGCTTGCCAGTCACAACAGAACCTCCAACAGCGGCGAACCTAGATCCTCATGACACCACTCACCGGCGACGGGAAGAGGAGAACCGCAGGAAGGTGAAGGTCCGAAACAGCTCCAGTCGTGCGCTCTCTCATCCCCTGCTTGCAAACAGACACACAAAAACGAGGAGAAGGTCCGCCAGCACCGCCGCCTACAACAGCGGCTGCCAAGAAAAATCGCTCGCCCACCCTCTCACTCACACCGGCTACGGAAGAGACGAAGAATCGTAGAGCAGGGTTTCGTTCATCTTTTTTTTTTTTTTTTTTTTTTTTAGCTTTCCCTTTCCCTTTTCTGGTATGGGCGCGGGAATTTTCTTCAGGGGCGTTTTAGTAATTTTATAGTGCTAAATCAAAATAAAAAGCTTTTCTATGGCACAGGAGGGATTCGAACTCAGAACAAATACTTCCACCAAGCCACCAGTTTTTTTTTTTTTACTTTATCTACTACAAAATTATATATAAGAAACATATAACCGAATTATATTATCATAAATTTTTGTAATAATAAAATTATTTTCATGTCATTACATTATCTCTCTTCTTGTTTTTTTAAACTATTACATGCCCCATTTTTTTTAATTATTGATTTATTTGATCAATTAATGTATTATTATTATATTTTTGTTGTTTTTGTTTTTATCTTAACAATTCCTAAATTTTTTGGCCATTACACCAAGATTCTACAAGTATTAGCTCATTTATCAATAAGTATTCATTCAAATTTTAATAGCAATTTATTTAAAATTAACAACAATCTATTCAAGCTTGAACAAGATAAAAAATTGATAGGATGGACATAATTATGCAAGTTTTAGTTCTTCACTAACAATTATCCATTTGGATTTTACATAACTCAATTGAAATTAATAACAATTCATTTGGCCTTTAACAAGTTAGAAAAAATGACACCATAAGACTAATGGATTGTGTTCACCTTACATAAACATAAGCTATTTAAGTTTTGATAACAATACATTCATACTTTAACAAGATAGAAAATTGATAGCACAGCTCTAATGGAACAAATTAATTGTTAATCACGAATAAGTTGTTACCAAAATTAAAATGACTTTTTATTTATGTAGGGTGAACACCTATTCAATTAGATATATGCTGTTATTTTTTCTAACTTGCTAAAGCCCTGATTGGATTGGTGTTAATTTTGAATAGGTTGTTGTCAAAACTTAAATAGACACTTGTTAATAAAGGACTAACACTTACACAATTAAGCATATCCTATCTTTTTTCTAACTTATTAAAACTTGAATAAATTATTGTTAATTTTAAATAAATTGGTATCAAAACCACACGCAAGCACGCGCACACGCACACGCACGCACGCACACACGCACACACAAAAAAACAAAATCATATTTTAAGGTTGTTAATTAACATTTTTAATCACTTAAGTTAATCATATTTTAAGGTTGTTAATTGACATTTTTAATCATGGATAACTTCAAAATCAAGCTAAGGTGAAAGTTGAATCGAATTGGCTTTGTGTAACATGAGGCAAAGTGATAAAATGCTCACCATGCCATATGTTGCATGTGCTAAATATGCCATAACATATGACATAGATTCAGCATAGAGAACCCAAAAAACATCAGAAGAATAGAGTGGAATATTTGAAAAACAAAGAGCTCGAAGGAGGAAGCTAGAGGCTTTGTTAGGGCTTTGATTTGGGCAAGGTTATAGGCTTATTGGACTCCAATTATTTAAGTAAGTTTTCTAACAATCTTCTCTACCTATTCACCTTGGTTTTGATAGATTTTAAAGGGTGGCTAGGTTTTGAGTTGAAGTGAAATTATACTCAAACCTTAGGTCTTGTATGTACTTGCGGGAGTATGATTTAAGTTGTTTTGTGTTAATTAAATGGTTCTCTATATTTGTGTTTTTGGATGGAAGAAGATGGATGAACCTTAAGTTGGTTTTGAACTTTTAAAGTTATGTGAGTTGAAATTAAGCACAAATCAATCTTATATTAGCTAAATTAAAATAAGGTGAGGTTATACAAGCTTGACTAGCTATATAGTAGAGATTTGGATTGTTGAGTACACTACTACCAAAAAAAAAAAAAACCCTAAATCTTCAATGATTCTTCTAGATGATGAAATTTTACTTGAGCTTCATATTCTCTTGATTTTGGTTCTGTTGTTGCTCAAATCTAATTCTAGTTTTTGTTATAATTTTAAATTTAGCTCATTGACTCTAATTAGATTGAATGAATTAATTTAATGTCATTTATTTCATTAAGAATCAAGTTACTTTCATTTACATTTTTCATTGAATTTGTGCACCTCAAATATTTGAGTTTATGCTTTAATGGTTATTACTAACTGAATTCAAATTCCTCTTGAGTCTTGCTTGATATTTTCAATTCATTCAACTTCCATTAGGTCTTAATAAAGAGTTAATTGTCTAAATTTAATTGTTCTCAACAAGGCAAAAATTCAATGTAATTTATTTAATCAAAGTTTGACAATTATTTAAGGATTATGTGCCTTGGTCTAAGCCATATTTACTTAGTCCTAATAGTCATTAGGTTTTTAATTTTGTCAATTGAGTGACATAGAAACCAAGCTCATGGAATTAATGACTCTATGATAGTGGAATGAATTTAAAATTTGAAGAATTCACCCATTTGTTTATTTGAATTAATTTTACTTCAATGCATTTTCATTGAAAATTTATAAAACCAAAAAATATTTTTTTCTTCTTAATTTTTGTTAAACCAAATTTTGATTTTAAGTTGTGAACGGTTTATGAACTAAAATTATTTGCTTCGCTTGCTCACTTGAAATAAGAATGACTTAAGATGCACTCCACTGCATTTTAAATTTTTTTTTAAAAAAAAAACTCTACACGACTTAGGACTTTTTAGTCAATCAACTCTGAGTACTTTCTCCCGTAGGATTTGAAACACTGTGACCTTGAAAGAAGAAGCCACAGCAAATGTAGAAGCTGACCAGCCAAAACCAAATGATGATGACATGAAGCATAGAAACCAACACAATCGAATTAAAAAGGTAACCAATATAAAAATATATATAACTGAAATATGAAAATAACACTTGAAAACTAACGAAGTCAAACCTGAAAGCAAAAACAAAAAACAAAAAATGAAAAAAAAAATTAGACTAGAAAAAAATAGAATGAACAAAAATTAAGACCTAAAGCAAAACAAAAATATCACAAGAGAACTCAAACTACAATAATCCATAACATGATATTAATATAATCATCCAGGATGAATATAATCATCCATGTTCAAAAGACACTCATCCAGTCATTCATAAACTCAAAATAAAAACTAAGAGTAATAGTAGAACATTGGTCTTCCATTTTTTATACCAAAAACAAAAAATATGTCTACACAGTGAAGCAAAAGAAAGCCAGATACATATATATCACAAATCCTTAACAAAATTTTCAGATCGAAGACCAAATGACCAAATATCCACTAGCAAAGCCACAAACCTTCAGAACAAATTTTGAAGAGCAAATTTTCAGAAAACCAAAAACCTATATCACAAGAAACAAACAGAACGAAGAGCCAAAAAAATAATTTCAACAGCAAAGCATCACCAGCCAAAACAAAAAACAAATGTCCACTAGTAGAAGAAGAACAAGATATGAAAAAAAAAAAAAATTCAACAGCCAAAGAAGCAGAACAACACATGCTTCTCTTAATCAAGATGAGCAAGCAGAAGAACAGCACATTCATTGCAAGGGGAAGAAGAATAAAAGTAACTGGGAGTAGCCACAAAACACGAGCGAGGGCAAGCAGAAGAGGCGAGGCGACACTGCATTTTCGATACCCAAAAATTGACAGAGACGAAGACGACGAGTCTTCGATGCCCATGAACAAGAAATAGCGATGAACTGGAGTGAAGTGGAGAAGGAGACCGGCTAATGGTGTTGTTGAGACCTTGTCCTTCTCAGGTTTGGCGGAGGCAGACGGCGACTAGTAGAGATGAGACGAAAATGAGAGCAATTCAAATGGGGTACAGAGATATCAGGGGCAAGTAAGGAAGGGGCACACAAAATGGGTGGATAAAATGATAAATAAATAAATAAATAAAAATAAAATGACACTACATTAGCATGCTCATATATTTTATTTTCTTTATTTTTTATTTTATTCATCTCATGTCAAGTTGGGCATAATTGTCCAACACCTAAAGTCAGTAATTTGGATAAGTTGGGCTTATTCGGATTGAATTTAAAATATTATACCCTTTTAAAAAAATCACTTATAGTCAAATCTAACCCTAACATCTTCGAGTTTCAGGCTTATTTGAGCCAGCTTGAATATCCTTTAAAGAAAATTTCTTTATTTTTTGAATTAATTTTAATTTTTAAATAATTTTATTAAACATAAAATATTATTTTAACTTTAAAAGAATAAAATAAAAAATAATAGGCCAAAATATACTCTTAGTCTTCTAACATTATATGAGGTTTCAATTTATCTTTTAATTTTATAAAATATCTTTTTAGTCCTTCAACTCTAATTTTGTTGGTTTCAAATGATTATTTTTTATATTAATCACTACTATTTTTAAAAAAATTAAATTTAATATGTCAACATTTGATAATATTTTATCAATATTTAAAAGTTCAATATAAATATTTTTTGAATAAAACTAACAGTATTAGGGTTAAAGAACTAAAAAAATACTTTATAAAGTTAAGGAATTAAAATGAAATATTGTATAAAGTTAAAGGATTAAATGTATACTTTAATCAAAATAATAACTTATCAATTTTGTACTTAAATAGTTCTGTTATTATTTTATTGTATTAAATGTAATTTATTTATTAATGTTTTCTTTACTTGTAAATTAATGTTTTATTTATTTAAATATTACTCTTATCATGATTATATATAAATATTTTATATATTTTAATTAAATTATATTATTTCAATTATGATCAAGTTGACATTAATACAATCACAATTAAACCACTAACTTAAAATTATTGCTCTAATTAATTCAAAATTTTTAAGATTTGAATTGTTGAGTACACTACTACCAAAAAAAAAAAAAACCCTTACTTGATAATTATTTTTAGCCTTATTTGATAGTTTTTAACTTTCAAGTAAGGTGACACTGTATATTAAAAACTTTATTACTCGACAATTAATAACTATCAAATAAAGGTAAGTATAGCCGTTTAAATATTACCTTCTAAGTCTGACATTTGGTCTATTCTAGAAGACAATACTCGACAATTATTTAAAAAAAACTATCAAGTATTGCCAAATAAAGTGTCATTATTTGATGCTTGTTTAAAATAAGAGTCAAATAAAGTGACCTTATTTGATTGTTTAAAATATAAAACTGTCAAATAACATAGTCTCATTATTTTTTTATTATATTTATTTTTTATTTTTAATATTAAAAATGTAAAAATCAAATTAAAAATTGTTTCACCATATTATATCAACAAACTATTATTAATCATGAAAAAAATTACAATAACTGAAATATAATTTGAATTTACTTTTCAATTCCACAAATACAATAGTCAGTTTTAAAACAAATCTATAATGATACTACTCTTCAAGTTCTTCATCCCTACACCAAAAAATGTGCTTGAAGTAATAATCCCGTGCAATTAGTCTTCCTGTAATTAGTTCTTCATTTGACCTCAACTTTGATCAATGTTTGGCATCTTTTTATCAGTCTTCTTAGCTCTTTCTAGGTTGTTTGACGTAATATTTCTCAATCAACTCCTTATGTTATTTTGGATCTAGGCTAAAAAAATGTTGTAGGTAAAAGTACTCCAAGTCTAACAACTTGTGTCAGAGTTTGATTCTACTGTCTCTGATGAATCTTTCTTCGCTACTGGAACTTTAAGCCCTTCAAAATTGATACATAGAGAATATCAGGGATCTCATTTCATTCATTATTTGAAATAATTTCAAAGGAACTTAATTGCACAACTGAAAAAATGGCAAATTAAATCTCTAGCATGCATTTTTAATCACACTTTCAAGCTCCTTCTCAAAGCACTGAAAATTAGAGACCAAACTAGAATTAGCATGCTAAGCTAATTGTGCTATACATCAAAATGTCAAGCATTAGATTTGTCAAAAATATGAATAGTGCTAAATTATCTTTGATTTGTTAGAAATATTACATGCCAATGTTGGAATGTTCTCACAATGCAAAGCCCAAGACTCATGCTGCCATGCCTGAAATGGGAAAGGATTAAACCACTACTTAACATTCACCCATTAACATTTAAAAGATTTGACAACTAACAGATATAGGTTTCATAGAAGTTTGGAAGTTGAATGGCAATCTTATATGATAAGGATCATAACAAGCTAGTGTTCTCTTTACTTTTGACATGTCCATTTATAGATGGCATCTATACATAATATATATTGAAAGACATGGAAGTAGAAACATCACACCTTGAGATCCATTGAGAATTTTAATGATCTGCACCAAGGATTGCAATATCAGTTACACAAAGAGACTCCCAATTACTTGGATCAATACCTGTATAAGACATGGAATGCACGCAAATGAGTTAATCATAAAACCAGTTCCCTTCTTTTGGGATAGACAAGCTATGACTAAATGAAAACTTACATAATATGGGAGACACCTACATAAAAAACAAAACTAATTCTTATGTCTAATGTACAATGCCATTCTGATAACTAGTTTCCCCCATTGATGTGTGTAAGTGTGTCATGAACCAAGGGAAATTGACGTCTTACCATCATAGACCTGATATTCTAATGCCTGTCTCACTTTCCCACTTCTTCCATTTCTCAACCATATGAATCAACAAAGACTAAGAGATAGAAAGAGGAGAAAAATTATTATTTGAAGTGGGAGAAAGCAAATGGAAAATGAAACTTAAAATAAGAAAAAAAATATTAATAGATGCATTGCAAAATATGAAATACTGTTATCACAAATATTAGCAGATGTAGCTGATGAATCCCATAAGCAGACCCAAATCCTTGCGTATCTTGCATAAAAAATTCAATCCTTGCTCCATTGGTTTTACACCATAACCATATAACTATGCAATAGAAAGATGCATATGATAGTTGCTATAGAACAATCATCTCCACGATAGTCACAGACTATGAAGCATCGATACAGGTACAACTATCAGATACGATACGGCATGATACATGGATACGACAATTTTCAAAAATTTTAGGATACGGGTACAACTATATAAATAATTAAATATTAAATATTTATATACATATATATAAATAATTAAATAATTAAGCAATATCAAGTGACAAAAAATAATGATCAACTTAAATTAATAAATATTAAAAAATTGTAAACTGTTTCTTGCATATTTTAACATGAGGAGAATTAATAAAAAAATTAAAATAAACAAATAAAAATTACCTAAATTCAAGCTTTGCCATTATTGTAACTACAAAGACTATATAAGGAAGCCAATTTTTTTTTTTTAAATAGGATCATGAAAGAAGAAAAAATTAAAGTTCATGGATGAAAAGGGGGAATGAAACTTTTTATTTTTTTGGTTAATAGCTCTCCTATCGATCAGATCACTTTGTCCACATAATAGCAAAGAATAGCAGCCAAGATCAAGACCTCTTGAGTCACGACTAAGGAAGAGAGACAAAGAGCAACACAATGACTGAGGAAGACACCGAAATAGTGACTGAGGAGGCAGAGTCAGAGAGCGACAGCGGCTCGAAGAGATAGAGCGATAGAGGAGAGTATTAACTCGCTCGAGCTCGACGGAGAAGGAGGGAAGGACGACGGTTGGCGGTAATGGAGGGAAGCTGGGTCAAAGCAAAGTGACGCGAATCAATCGAAGGACTTGAGAATGAAAGGGATCGGTCGTCGTTTGGGAAGTAGGGCATCTAGGAAAAAAAAGCCCAAAACCAGCTACGTTTCACATCCTACCCATGTTGGCTGGCAACCACCTGTGTCTGCCTGTTTCACAAAAAAAAAAAAAAAAGGAGACACGCCGCATCACGTACAGGACAAGTATCCATGTCGGATACGTATCTAACAAGGACACGGCGCTGATTATGGCGTGTCCATGCTTCAGAGGTCACAGATGAATAGGCCATATGACAGCATACATATCCCAATACATATATTAATTTTAGAATGAGAAGATTTGATCATTTGCATTAATAAATATGATGGTCATCAAACTCATGTAGATTTTGGATTAGAAATATCCAAGAAGTCCTGGGTGTGAGGCTGTAATTTAACATATGTTCTCTTGGAAAGTGTTGCATTTTTCAGTCTTATAATGTCTCCCTCTAGTAAAAGCATGTTCTGCATCATCTTCATAAGAACATTCTAATAAAAAGCAACTTCAAAAAAGTAAAATTTGTGTCTTTATTTAAATTTAAATTTTAAAATGCCTACCCAGTAAGGGCACATACACACATCATGCATTCCTCTGCAATCAACTCCAGCAACCCACAATGAGAAACCCAATCAGCAGCATCATTCCAGAGTTGAAACAACAACATCCCCTAACATCCTTCACACATTTTCAATAGCATCTATAACAAGATTTGAAGCAAATTTAAAATTATAGAGCAAAAAGAGCAAGTGAATATTAAAAAAAAATCAAAAGGACATAAGGCTGTACCGAAATGTGCAAATCTAAAGGGAAAATAACTGATGCAATCATCAAATATTTTGAAAAAGAGTAAACTGTTAACTGAGTACATAAGCCTTATTGAACTCCATGTTAAACATGGGTAAAGAAATATTTTGAAGCCAAGTTAACAAAAGTAATAAACAAGAGAGAAAGCTAACTATAGTTCATTAATCTAAAAGTATATTATGATTTTATAATAATGACAATAGTTAGTTATATTAGTTATTGGGACATGTTTTATGTATAATATACGTGTGGCTGTTAGTAGCAGTTAGAGGGTATTCCTATTTCTATAAATACCCGACAACTTAAAATGAAACTCCATGGATGATTAATAATAAACCCTGTGTACTTTATAGCCTACCGTCTCTTCTATCTCTCCAGCCCTTCTCATTCCTCTCTGTTTCTCTTTCTCTATTTCCTCTTTATCTCTTCTATCTTTTCTATTCTTCCCTCTACTTCTCCCTATTCCTTTCAGTCTCTCTATATCAAAATTATACTGATATAACAAATTACTTTTTCATAAACTCCTAGAAATATCCATGATATAGTTGTACATGCCTTACAATAGTTGAAGAAAACATAAACATATCACCAGAACATAAAATAATAATAAAATGTTTAATTTAAATACCTCACAGCTTCCTCTTCCCCAACCTTACAGTATGCAAATATAATATTCCTATTAATTTCCTTATGCCATTTAACTTCGGCAGCCAAAAGAAAATAATGGGGCATGCACCCAACCTATATATGTACACCAGAATTGGTCTATATATGTATTGGAGCCAACAAGTCAATAAAATACTCCATAGGTAGATGGAACAAATTAAGATTGTCTTCTTGCTTGCCGGAACCAAGTCTATTTATGATAAACTATATACCAAATTTGAGTTTTCTTAAAAGACTAATTAGGATAATGGGCCTCCTTCAGCCTTATCAATGTTTAACTTGATTATAATATGAAAAAGGAGGCCTCACAAGAACACCGGAATGACCCAACATTCTTGTCTATTTCCTTATAAATAGAAACAACACTTTCTTCATATTGCTAGATTATGTCCACCCCGTTCATCACTCTGGTTAAAATATGATTTTTGATTAAACGCCAATAAATAGCTAGGCACATGTATAATTGATAATGAAATAAATCCATACATGGTCCTGAATCCTGATCTCGCGATTATGCATATAACTAAACTATCCAGGGAAAATATGTCACTAATTCCATAATACAAGTCAAGAAGCTTACTAGAATATTAGTCAAAACCCCCAACTCTGACCCAAAAGTCACCACCATGAAAACAAGAGAGAAATCTATACAGAGTCGTCAGTGAGTTTACGCTTCAATAAATCAAAGATCAGCAAAGATGAAGCATTCTAAAACATAGAAAAAGAGAGAAAGGCAAGGAGAGAATGAGAAACCTGCATATTGTAAGTACCAGATAAATTACGGAGCGAGAGAAGAGAAGAATGGAAGTGGCTAGGGTTTAGGCTTAAAGTCGAAGAAGTGAGTAAGGAGGAGAAAAATATCTTGCACTTCGTTACAACCTCTCGGAGGCAGTGGTACGATAGCAGTAAGGTGATGGAATAATGAAGGAAGGAGGAGGAGAGGATGTGGGTTCAAGAAGGGAGGCGTTGTGGAGGTGAGGCACTGTGGAGGAGAGCTTTGATGAAAAAACTCAAAGAGGGAACAAATTCGAAGGTTACATGTAAAAGTATCAAGTAATATTTATTTAAGTGTTTATTTATAAATAAGTGTCAAATAAATGTTTTAAATATTTATGATTATTTATAATAAATATTAAATACATACATATATATATATATATATTTGATGTTAATTTTAAATAATTATCAAATATTTGTTTATATATTTGGTGTTGGTTTAAAATAATCATCAAATATTTATTATATGTAAAAATGAGGTACATTGGAATCTTGCATTAATTAAGCTATTTTGATAATAAAATCTAATATGTGTAGCATGACTCATGATGCATAACATAATTTGATAGCTCTATATCACATGTCATAGTATATAGTTCAATTTTCTTACATTTGTTCTATTTTTTCATTGTATATTATGTATGTATGCCTCCGCTGCGTATTGATACTTACTTTTAAAGGATTTTAAATAATTTTCAAGCAATTTCTTTTACGATTCCAACCGCTTTAAAAGAACGAATTTTATATATATATATATATATATATATATATATATTTGTGTGTGCGTGTGTTGTAGTTGTGTGTAGAGTACCGTAATATTAGAAAAGACATTACATAATGTATTTGATTAAAAAAAAAAAAGTGCTTTAGCTTAATTTCTTCTCTTAAACACACAATGCGAAGTCTCTAAATGGCTAATTGAGGTATTTAATGACTTTAATCATCCTCCTGTAATATGTAGAATCTCATTTAAGTGAATGGGCAAGTGATAAACTTCTTGAATTTATTGTTTTACCAACAGCATTGATTATTTATAAAAAGCTCTCTATTTTATTGGTTCATAAGTTTTTATTGTATTTGCATCTACTCATTTTAGAGTTAACATTTAGTTAAGCTTATTTGTTATTTTGAAATCTTAAAGATGGTTTTTCTCTAAGTGTTTAATTGCTTATTGTAAAATCCTGATTTTTTATAATAAAAAAATAAATCGTAAATTTGTGTCTCATTGAGGATTTAAAAAATAAAAAATTAAATTATTTTGAAGTTTAAATTAAGGAATGAATTTGTATTTGAAATTATTTAGGATTAATAACATAGTTAGGTGTCTATTTATGGATTAAAGTTGGCCAAGAATCATATAAGAGATATTTATTAGCTTAGTTTAGGATATACTTTAAAGATAAAAATAATAAAATATAATTAAAAATAAAATAAATAAAATATAAAAAAAGAAGAAGAAGATGAGGAGATAATAGAAAACAAAAGAAGTGTAGATAAGAAAAAATAAAATAGGAGAAGATGAAGCATCAGATTCACGTCCATACAAATATATGTATATATATATAGATTGAAAAAAAATAGAGGGAAAAAAATAGAGGGAGGGAATGGAGAGGAAATATGCTGTGGGACCCACGTCCATTTTAATATTATACCCCATCTCCCTCCCCCTTTAATTTCCGCCCCATCTCTCTTCGTCTCTTCTTGATTTTTTTTTTTCCCGCACAGCGTCTGCCATTTTTTTTCAGGTAAGGTTGTAAATTTTAGTTTATTTATATGTACAAAATAACTCCCATTCTCCAAATTTTTTCTATAAATATTTTCTGGCCATCAAGAGCTATGAAACAGTAGCATTAACTTGAAGAATAATGCAAGTTTTCTGATTAAGGTTTTCCTATAAGATAATTAATATGAAGTTATGATGATTTAAAATGAATGTTGAGGTGGTTGGAGATGTAGTAAATGCTATAGAACATTTCTTTAGGGTTGGAATTCAAATTTGTGAATTTTTAGGTTAAATTCTTGATCTATATGGTTGAGTTTATATTAAATATGAGATGTTGGAATGAACTTTTAATTATTAAATATTTATTTAAATATGAATAGATATTTCTAAGAATGTGGAATGGTGATTTGACGGTTGAGGATACTTTTTGAATTTTTAATTTACTTTTGGATGAATTTTTGAAATATAAATTAATGAAATTGTGATATTAGAAGTGATTTAAAGATTAAATATAGTTTATTAGAGTATGAAAATTCTAAGAAGAAATTTTGGAACGTTAAATGAAATACTAACCTTGAATTAGTATTAATATAAATCTTAGGCCTAAAACTTTCTAACTCTTTAAATTAGAGTTATTTATTAATTTTAATATAAAATTAATATATAGTATTATGAAGATTGTATTGATAAAGAGAGTGGTAAAAGAGAAGTTGTGAAAGGAAACTTGTTGTCCAAAATATAAAGTAACCATTATTAATGTGTTGTGATAGAGGTGTGTGTGTAATTGGTTATGTGTTATTTGTTGTTTGAAAAATTATAATTTATTTAGAAATAAATATTTGTATATAATTGTTCAGAATGTATTATGATGAGATTATTGTTTGATTATATTCTCATTCGAATGTTTAAATTATGCATAACTTGTCATGGTATTTTAATATATGGTGTTGTTAGGAATTTCTATCTGGTTAATTATTACCATGTGATAAGTCCTTATTAGACCTAATGAGTGACATGCAGCTTAGTCCAACTCACATTTGGTCAAGTGATTTGGCGTCCAGCCATGGCGAAAGGAGGATATAACGTGTGGTCATGTAATTAAATAATTATTTGTTCAGTTTGTTTAAAAATATTTGTTTGGTTAAATATTTTAGTGTGCCCACTTAGCAATCGAATACATCATTACATAATAATTTGTTGTTACTAGGACTTTTAAGTCTCATTCCTTGTGATTAACATTTTACAAAAGCGAGTTTGGCTGAGGAAGCACCAGAGGCATAAATTTTGGTGTATGGACAACACTTTCTTACTGCCACTTATTTTGGTTTATGCAATGTATATTATGCCAACTTAGGACATTTATTATTTTGTAGGACATATGGTCTCTAATATGCAAATTTGACACAACTATATGGTCAAAAGGATTCTGTTTGTTCCTCTTGATTCATTATTTGATTTGAAGGCTATGTTATGAGAAATTTGTATGTCCTTTAGGGCCTTAGGTGTAAAATATTATGCTTGATTATAAGAATCCTGTCTGTCCCTCATGGTCCCAATTGCTTTTTTTGGGGTATTATTGATATAACTAAATTCACTTTTAGGTGTTCATTAGCTAGTAAATGTGTGTTTATGTTATGGACAAGTGCACATCCTCTATTTTTAATGGTGAATAAGTATTGAACTATGGTAATTCTTGTGTGGATCCACTTTCTATAAATGCCTCCAGAGGGAGTGAATTGGGCTAATTAAAAAATTTTAAAGATTTGCAGTAATAATAAGAGTAATGATGGAACAAAATCACCAATCACAAGAGTTAGAAGAGTAGAGCTTGACACAAGTGATTTATCCTAGTTCGACTCCTACCATTTGAATCTACATCTAGTCCCCAAGAACCTCCTAAGATTTTCAACTATATTACCAAAATTAATTCGAGCTCTTGGTTACCTCAGTACATTAACAGACTTTACAATAAGTCTAAAATTCTCACCCTTATAAAGGTAATGATAAATCCCTTTAAGCTCCCAAATCTTAAGTTTCCTTGTAAGATGTAAAACAAATATAAATAGAGTAGGTTCAAGAATGAACTACTACTACTTTAAAACTCTCTCTAAGAGTAGATATATGATTAATGAAGCTCTCAAACAATAAATGATATGCAGAAGGTAAGTAAACTTTAATGCTCAAGTAATCACATAATTTTCTTGTTGGCTTGCGTTGTTCATTCTTATCTCAAGTTTCGTAAATGATCCGTTAGACTCATAACTTTTTCCATTGAAGGTTACTTATAATCTGATTCCTTCTTTCCTTTGTGTTTTCCTTGGACATCCAAGCTTAATTGAGATTCTCTAATGGATAAGGCAACAAAACAGTACTTTATGGCAGAGACTTCTTTTGTACAGTAACGACTAAAATATTAAATGCTTCTGACAAAAGTGGATAAAGCTTATACATTTTGGTATAACTGAAGGTAGACTCGATAAATCAAAAAAGATTAGTAAACTGAATAACTTCAAGGAAATAATTGGGTCTAAATAACATTTAGTAAAGATTTAGAGCGAACACAATTGATTCCAAATGAAAAGAAAGATTGAAAGATGAGTTTTAGTGAGATTCAAAATTGACACAAAAAATAGAGCATGAAAATGCAAGGTAGTGCTGGTATTATAGTGTCCCAGCATCGGTGTTACTGTGATGCATAGGCTTTGATTGAAGAGCTTAGCATAAGTGTTGTTCTGATAGTACTGGTGTAGTCTGTCATTGTAAAAGACAAAGATTTTTGACAATTTTGAGAGAATAAGGATATTTTTGAAAAGATAACTTAACACTGATGTTAAAGGAAAATAACACTGAAGCTATATGATCAAATAAAAGTTTTCATAATAGGAAAGAGAAGATGGTAACGATGCTATACAAATAGCACTGGTATTATAGATAAAGTTATCAATTCAATATAGGTGCTATTGAAAAACACAAGTGCTGTTTTAACTTAAACAAGGACATAAGATAAACAAGATCGATGTTAAATAAATAGTACCAGTGCAAATAACACTGGTATTTATATGAAACACGAACCAATAGAGAAGTGAAAACAATTCAAGTAGCATTGATGTTAAACCTTTCAATACTGGTGCTAAGTACACTTAGAAACAATGTATAAAACAAGATTACATTAAGCATATAGATTATAGTTGTAACCTCCTCCCATATCCTCCAAATGCAAGAGAAGGTTAATAGACTCACCACATCAATCGCACAAATTAATAATCACATATTGTTTAAAAAGCTTTGGCTAAAGATTTGTTTTGCAAAATCATCAAAACTATAATGCATCAAAACAATATGCAAAGGAAATAAATTATATACATTCATCTCAGTCCTTACTTGCACTAAAAACCCTAAAATCAAGTTAGAAAATAGGGTATGCATCTCGATATGCAATACGTGTATCGCGGCATGTAGCATAGAGCCACACGCCTAACTAACATCTTAAGGACACAAATCATTAATTAATCATCCAAATT